CAACGCGCATAGGAAGGACGCGCGCCCTCTCTAGGGCACCCTTGTGTCCTTGCCTCTGCGGCCCGTCCTTTGCCGTTCCCACTGGTCAGCCTTGGGGTTTGGTCGACGGCCGCCCCAAAAAACCCAACTTCGACCCCCAAGGGTCTTGCGTCCTTACCACCCGTCCTTAATACACGTCTTCACTGTACGTCCCAAGGACCCGCCGGCTCTCAGAGATTCCCGATCGTAACCCTTGTCCTACTATTTGTCAGCGTCTGCCCTTCGTCTACCGTCTTTCGCTCTGCGTCCGCAGCCATCTTGGCCCTTGAACCCCTGCCACTAGACTCAGACCTCCTCAGGACCCCAGAGATCATCAGTGTGAGGGGGCCAAACAGTCATTCATAGCCCCTGGGTGCGTGGCATGAGTGGCGCTCCGTCTGCGGATTCTGTTTATCTTGTTTTTGTTTTTGTTGTTGCTGCTGCTGTTGTTGTTGTTGTTGTTGTTGCTGGTGTCGTTGTTGTGATGATGCCGATGTTGTTGTTATTGTTGTTGTTGTCGTTGTTGTTGTTGCTGTTGTTGTTGTTGTTGTTGTTGTTGTTGTTGTTATTATTGTCCTTGTTCTTGTTCTTGTTGTTATTGTTGTTATTGTTGCTCTTGTTCTTGTTATTGTTTTTGTTGTTGTCGTCGTTGTCATCTTCGTCATCGTCGTCGTTTTCGTTCCTTCCATCCGTCCTCTCTTCCCCTGCCTCGGGGGCTGCACGAAATGCATTTTGCAGGTGAGAAAGATATATACCCCCAACGGGGGTACGATCGAAGATGAAGAGGGCGGGTATCGAGGGTTTGGGGTATACGTGATGGAGCGTAGAGTCTCGAATTGATTGTTGTTGTTGCTGTTGTTGTCGTTGTTGTTGTCGTGGTTGTTGTTGTTGAATGCTAACCACTAAACAATTATTCTTGCTGGACCCCTTACAGGCGCCCTGGCGCTCTCGCCGAGGCGCCGGCTGCATTTTCATTGACAATGAGGTTCACTCTCAAGCGGTTTGGGGGAACCGCCACAACCAGCCCCCCAACAACAACAACGCTCCCGTTCGAGAATTCCTCTTTTTGTACTCAGGGCCGGTGCTCTTGCTCGCCGCCGAAAGCAGCCGTCTCAACAAAAAACCAGCGCTCCCCCTCGACTTCCTCCCGTTTACCTTGGACAGGCGCGCTACTCTTTCTCTCATGGGCGCCGCCCCCTAGCAACAACAACGCTCCCGCTCGAGATGTCTTCCCTTTTTTTCTCAAGGCGGTGCTCTTGCTCGCCGCCGGCAGCCCCCGTCCCGACAACACCAGCGCTTCCGCCCAAGACTTCCTCCCGTTTTGCGCTGGACTGCTGCCCTTCTCTCCTCCTCCTCCTCCTCCTCCTCCTCCTCGTCCTCCTCGTTCTCCTTCTCCTCCTCCTCCTCCTCCTCGTCCTCCTTCTCCTCCTCCTCCTTCCTCCCCCCTCCCTCCTCTTCCTCCCTCATCCTTCCTCCACCCCCTCCTCTTCTCCCTCCTCCCTCCTCCCTCCTCCGTTCCTCTTTCCTCCTTCCTCCTTCCCCCCTTCTCCTCCCTTTCATCTTCCTCCTCCTCCTCCTCCTCCTCCTCCTCCCGCCTTCTTTTCCTCCTCCTCCTCCTCCTCCTCCTTTTCCTCCTCCTCCTTTCCCTTTTCGCTCGCCCTTCTTCTCTCCCTTCTCCTGCCTTCCCCCCCCTCCTCCCTCCTCCCTTCCCCTTCCGTCCTTCCTCGTCGCTCCCGCTTTTACTCAAGATCGGGGCCCTCGTTTCGGCATCGCCTCTGGGGGGCTTCCAAGAGTCCCTGTTGAGCCCTAGTTATTGAATAGCTCTCATTTTTGGAAAGCGTAGAAGATGTGGAGGAGGAGAAGGAGGACGGATAACTTCCAGGGACTCCAAGGATCGAGGGTCGAAGGATTCACTTCAGGGATTATTTGGGAGGGTGTGGATGGGGCAGGTGGAGGATGCGAGCATGGGGGCGGCAGCGCCTGGGGTCGTGAACGGTCAGGGTCACGCGCCGAGGCCGCATGATGATGGCGTAACAGTTTTAACGATGAGTAAGAACCACCTCGTCCTCGGAGGTACTGCTACTACAACTACTCCTCCTTCCTCCCCCTCCTCCTCTTCTTTCTCTTCCTCTTCCTCATCTACCCCTCTTCCTCGTCCACTTCCTCCCCCTTCGAGATGCGGGGCGCGCGCAAGGCCATGGCGATGGGGATGTGCCGTCCGAGCTGTAGACGTCGAAGTTCCTCGGAAAAGGGGTGGCGGCGATACTTTTTTCGGGCCAGAGATCGGGGCGAAGGAGTATCGGACCCCGCGCGTCAGAAATACATCCCCCATGATGGGGCGTGGCATCCAAAAGGGCGCGACATGTGGAAGCGTGGCGCGCGACGGGGGCATGCTTGTTTTTGTTGCTACCGCTGCTGGCACTGCCGTTGTTGTTGGTGTTTCTGCTGTTGTTGTCGTAGTTGTCGTAGCAGTAGTAGTAGTAGTTGTTGTTGTTGTTGAACATTATTTATTCTAAAGAATAATTATTGTTGGGCCCCCTGGTGCGCGCCCCCCCTGCGCCGCCTAGGCCGCAGCTACATTTTCATCATTTTCGTGAGGAAGCCTCAGAAAAGAGGGTGTGTACAGGATCCGGTTGTTTTGTTGTAATCCGCTTTCCCTTGCAAAAAACAATAGAAAATGACATTTCTTGTTCTAATATAATCAAATTTCAAGAATCCCTTGCAAAAAATAAGGTAAAGTGGACATTCGCGCGCGCAAGACGAAATCCTTCCAAAACCTTAGTGTTCGCAGCGATTTTAACATAAAAACATCAAAAAACCAATGGTTTTTCAACAAAAAATTGTCAAAATCTCATCCCGCGCGCTCTTGCGGATTCGTAGGAAACCCAACACTTTTTAAACATTTCTGTCAAACGGGCTTTTGCGAGCAACTTTTTCGAACTTCTGCGACAACGGTTGCGCACCTGCCAGGGCCATCATCCCTGTCAAATAATACCATGCGGGACACATTCGTTTTTTCTTCGCGCGCGCACGCCGTCGTCGTCGGCCGCGGGGCCCTGAATAGTAGCCACGGTCGTCCGCATGCCACGAAGTGAAGTGTCCGAACGTCATAGGGCGGGAAGCTGGGTGTGGGTGGTGGCGAAGAGTCGTTTGGAAATTTGGTAGAGCTTGAACCGGCCCCCCCACAAAGTGGGGGTATTGCCCGCCTCCTATGAAAACCCTGGCACTGGTGAGAACGGAGTGTCCCCACGTGCTAGTAATTGTTGTTGTTGTTGCTGTTGTTGTTGTTGTTGTTGTTGTTGTTGTTGCTGTTGTGTTTGCCATCCGTTGTTGCTTATAGTGGCTGTAATTGCTGCTCGTGGTTGTTGTTGTGGTGGACGAATTTTCAGGTATGGGGATTAATTATAGTTCATCCCCGTTGCCCGGTGCCCGTTGTGTTTTTCCAAATGACGTGCCCCCCCTGTGGCTCGCTCCCGTTGTTTCCCCAGGGAAAGTCTTGAGCGTTAAATTGTGCCCGTGGCCCCTGAGTTTTAATATCCAAATTGTGATCTCACGCGGGACTTTTCACATGTTTTGCAGGAGTCGCGCTCTCGCGTGTGGGCGCCTCGCAATTTATTCAGGCGTCGCGCCGTCGACGCTCAGGAATCACGGTGTCGCTGTGGAATCCTTGGCGATTTATGGGGGAATCGCGCTATCGCTCGAGATTTCGCGATTCATGCAGGACGCCCGCTTCAGCAACCCGCCTGCTCGACCTTGCCGCCGGGGCCCGCCTTCCGACCCGTTCGTCAGGGTCTACCTGCTCGATATGCCCGTCTGGTTCTGCTATGTGCTTTCTGCTCCTAACCCCCTCTCCTGCTATTCTCTCTCGTGTTCCACCCTCTTCCCTCCACCTTGTCAATTCCTTCAATCCGTTCTCTCTTTCCCTTCCTTAGGGGCTGCACGAACCGCGCGTTGCAGGTCAGAAAGATATACACCTAAAGGGCTACGATCAAAGACGAAGAGGGTGGGTGTGGAAGATTTGGGATATACGTGATGAGTGGCACGCGGGCCAAAGACGCCCCCCCCCGGGGCCCGAAAAAGGGTACGAAAACGTGATATGTCTCCTCTCACCCCCGTATATCTGCCTTCCCCATTCAGCGACCCTTATTTCCCCCTCCCTCAGTGGTCGCCTCCCTTTGTGTATCGCCCTGCTTTATCGCTCCCCCGTCTTGATCGTCAAACCTCTTAATTATCACCCCCCTTAGTTGTCGCCCCTCCATTCCGTGAGATCCGACGTGGCGGAACAAAAACGACATCGTAAACCAATCACACTTGCAGCCCCAACCCCACATTTTTCTGCCTCATTTTTCTCTCGAGTCGCGTCGACCTGGGAGGGCCCTGGGGGCCCGACAAATTATTCATCACAGCCGACAGCGCCCGATTCGAGAATATAAATCGCGCCGCCAGGGCCTTTCGGGGTCAAACCGCGCCCGAGGCTCGGGGCGGGCCGCGGCCCAGAGGGCTCCAAAGGGGGTTTCCAGGGAAGGGGCTTTCCAGCGACCGCCCCCCCAGGGGCATTTCGCAGCCTCGTCAAAACGGGGGGTGCGAAACCCCTGGGGGACCCCTCCTCGATGGGCGTGCGTGTTTTCCACCACCGTCACCATACGTTGGGGGGGTCCTCTTCCTCTTCGTCCTCTTCGTCGTCGTCCTCCTCCTCCTCCTCCTCGTCCTCCTCCTCGTCTTCCCCCTCGTCTTCCCCCTCCTCGCCCTCCTCTTCTTTCCCCTTCCAAGTTATATGGTGGTGGTGGTGGTGGTGGTGGTGGTGGTGGTGGTGGAAAACAGGCCCATCGCTCCTGGAAGCCCCCCTCCCTCCAAACCCTCTTTTGGACCCCGCCGAGCGGCCATGGGCCCCTGCGGCGCCCGCGGGCCAGGCGCCGGCCGCGCGCGCGCGCGCGGGCGCGCGCGCGGCGCGGGCGGGGCTGGCCGCCGCGGCCGCGGCCGCGTGGGGGCGCCTCGGCGGGCCCGCGGCGGTGGGCCCGGGCGCCTTCGGGCCCCCGCCGGGCCCGCCGCTGCTGGGGGCGCTGGCGGGGCTCCTCTCCCTCGGCACGGGCGGAAGGGATGCGCGAGCAGTGGCGAAGCAATTCCCACAGATCCAGCGCAGTGAACAAATCAAGATTTTTTTGTTTTTGTTCTTACCGATTTTCGGCCTCCAGGGGCCCTCGCTGGGCCCTGGGACCGTCAAAAAACGACTCAGGATGAAACACCGGTCCTGGGGAATGGGTCGAGACTTCGGGGAACCGCGTATTGAAAAAATCACAACGTCAGATCTCAGGGTTTTTCTCAGGGGCAACTATAGAGGGGATGGGCAGAGGAGGAAACGGTACCCATACCGCCACCCCTGCCTCGTTTTCCTCTTTGTGGGCCTTCGGGGCGGCCTTCGTCGCCACCGCTGGATTCGCCTTGAAATTCTGGTCAGAACGCACCCCAGGAGAGGTCGTCGCGGTATTGGTACCTTTTCATCTCCCCACATAGGCATCGGGGGGGACGCAATCGCCCATGGATCGCCGTTACGGGCCCGATAGCCCCAACCCGCCCAGGAAGGTGCGATTTTGCTATCGGGGGCCTATCGCCGATCTATCGGCGATGCATCGCCGATGCCAGGTCGATGCATCCCCCTCTATGCCAGTCCCCCATAATCTCTACCCTTCTGCAGTGACGAAGCGTCTTGGCTCGCTTATGGGCCCATCAAAGACTGTTCTAGGAATCTTTTGCACGGCATGTTCTGAAAACGTTTCTGGTTGAGACTGTTTTGTTTTAATGCATCGGGGCTATGTTCTAATACTAATATTTTGTTCATAGATTTTGTTCGAGTTCTGAGACGGTTTCGTGGTAGGCTTGTAGGAGGAATGCCTGGACGGCTGGTCCTTGTTCAAGATACACCCAGTGGAGCAAAAGGTGCCCATGCCGCTACCTTTCTGTCGTTTTCGCCTTTGTGGGCCTTTGGGAGGCCCTCGTCGCCATCGCTGGATTCGCCTCGAAATCGTGGTCAGAACGCACCCTGGGAGACGTCCGGGGCGTAGCAGTATTGGTACCTTTTGATTTCCCCATACACGCCAGTCGTTGCAAGTAGGTTTTCTGGGGTTCCAGATCCCATCTACTTCAAGCGCCGTCCTACTTCAAGAGTCGGTATTCTCTTGCTATCGCTTTTATTCTCTGGGTGGGCCCAAACCCAATCTACTTTATCCGCCTTTCCACTTCGTGTTTATTCCTAGTTCTTCTGACTGGCGGGCAAGATCGGCATTTCCTGTTCCTTATGGACTGGATTCAGTATCGTACCTTTTTCTCCGCACCCACTTCGGTCGTCCACATCTCAGGGGCAAGGATAGTGGGTGACAGGCTCAGGGGGGATGGGTGGTCCCACCCCGCCCAGGAGCGTTCGGATTCGCCCTCTGCTTGGCATCGCTCGGACGTGTGCATTTTTTCTCGGCGAGATCCATCGAGGAGCATCCTTGATCATTTGGCGAAGAAAACACGCACGAAACCGAACAAAAACACATGGAATGGACGTCCGAGCGATGCCCAGTCTGGGGCCTATTGCTGATGTGCCGGCGATGTATCGCCGATGCGAGGTCCGTGTCCCCCCCCTCCCCCGTGCCAGTCCCCCGGGGCGCGGGGCACAGTCGAGCTGAGTGCGGAAAGAATGGGGAGACGGAGGAGGGAGGAGGGAGGAGGGAGGAGGGAGGAGGGAGGAGGAGGAGGAGGAGGAGGAGGAGGAGGAGGAGGAGGAGGAGGAGGAGGAGGAATGACCAGCCGCAGCGCTTGTCCATTTAGAACAGGGCTCGCTGTCGGAGCCGCCGTGGAGGTGTCCCTTTGAGGCAGAAGGCCGCCTGCCCAACGGATGCCGCTGTCGGCTTCTGGACACTAGTTGTTGTTTGGCATCGTGCGCACTTTCTCCGTACCCATTTATCGAAGGAGGAAAAGGTACCCATACCTCTACCCTTCGCCCGTTTTCCCCTTTTTGGGTCTCCTGGGCCTCCCTCGTCGTCGCCGCTGGATTCGCCTCGAAGTCCTGGTCAGGACTCACTCCGGGAGAGGTCCGGGGGGCAGCGGTATCGGTACCTCTCTGCTTTCCCCAATTTCGGGCGCTCACAAGGCTCGCGACGAACGTGTTCCCGTGGAAGTACATCCTCGGTGGCGAGCCCCGGGGGGAGAGGCAGACCCTGAGATCCTGGCGTTATGTCGGGCGTGTCCTTCTACAGGGGGATTTTCGACGAAAAAGAAACAAAACACCCCAACGATACCCCAGAAAGGCCAACAAATACTCAGACCATAGTCCCCAGTTCCCAGGCTCATTTCTGGGGTATATTTCGATTATGTTTTGGGGTATCTTTTTTATTTTTCGTCGAAACTCCCCCGGTAGGGGGACAGGCCCGACGGAATCCTGGCGAACGCACCCGTGCCGTAACTCTGAGAAAAACACGGTTTTGGACGGCTCTCGATGTGCGCGCGCGGAGACGCGCACGTGTGGCCCGCACGGTATTGGTCGACGGAGTTGGCCGAATGTGTTGTGGAGTTGGCCGATTCGTCTTCGCCCCCTCTTTTCCGGCCCCAGAGGGGCCCGCACACGGCCCTACGCCGCCGCGGCCGCACGGGTCGGGCAGCCAGGGCGCCGCCCAGGATTTCCTGGGTCGTGCTGGCTGTGGCGAGGCAGGCGTGCTCTGCGCGGGACGCCGGACGTCGGGGGGGGGGGAGGGCCTGCTCAGGATCAGGAGGGGGAAAAACACACACAGACACACAGACACAATTCATCAGGAGGGGGAGGGGGAAAAACACACACAGACACAATTCATCGGCGATTCCCAGAAGATGTGGGAAAATATGGGAAGTGGGGGGGGGAAGACAAACACCCAGAAAATATGGGAGAGTATGGGGAATCTTTTTGTTTGTGTGTCTTTATTTGTGTGTCCTGGGGCCCCTTCACAGAAGGCCGAGGTGGCTTTCCCGGCCTGCGGAGCTCTCTCTCCGAGCCTTCTCCGGGCCGAGATGGCCGTGACCATCTCGGCGCCTTGCGCCGTGGCCGCCCTGGCGCCTGTCGTGGTGGCGATGCTGCTGGCGCCAGAGCGGGGACACGTCTCAGCTTTGGGGCCCGAGGCGAACGAATCCTGCGCCTGCTACTGGGGGTCAGTCTTCTGGGAGTCAGGACAAGGTAAGTTCAATTTCCCTGCTTTTCCTCATTCGGCGTCGTTGTCTTTTCGAGAGCGGTGCCTTCCCTGTTTTTGTCCGGGGCAAGTTCTCTGGATATGCCTGGCCCAGGCCAGTCTTCTTCTCAGAGCCTCCGTTTTCTCCTGCTTGCGCTTCGCTGGCTCCGACCCCCGGTACAGGGGATGTCCATGCCAAGAAACACCCTGCTTGCCTCCAGGGTGCCCTGGGTTTCTTGGGTTGAGATGGTTTTACTGTGGACAGCGTGATGCCCCCACACCAGAAATCCAGGGATGTCCTGACGTCTCAGGGTTGGGTTTCTTGTGGAAGGTCTCTTGTGGACTGGCCTCCACTGCAGTCTGACCCCCGACATTATCAGCAGGCGACTGAACTCGGCGGCGAGCGAGGGCGGGAACTGAGAAGCAGAAGGCCTTCCCAGAAGGTTCGGAAGTCCCCCGGCCTTCTGAGATGTTTTCTCAGCCTTCCCCGCAGACGCAAAAAAACAAAAACCCTCAGAAGACGCGAGGGCTTCTGAGGAGTCCCGCCGCCTTCTGAGAAGGCATCCTCCTCCTCGCTCCCCTCCCCTCCCCCTCTGGGGAACGCAAAAGGTACCCATACCGCTACTCCCCCGACATCTCCGGGGGTGCGCTCTGACCCGGATTTCGAGGCCAATCCAGCGGTGGCGACGAGGGCCGCCCATCAAGCCCAGAAAGGAGAAGCGAGGAAAGGGTAGAGGTACGTGTACCTCCTCCTCCTCGGACCCCGCTCGCCGCCGATGACGTATCGTCCGCGGGCGACGGAGCGGCTGCCTCCGCTCCCCCCCTTCGGCCCTGCGCGAGGGCCTCGGCGCAGCCCCGCCGCCCTCCGAGCAGGCCCCGCCCCCCCTCGCTGCCCCCCCCCCTGGCTGGGCGCGCCGCCCGCCCCCCGGCCCGTGGTCGGCCCGAGGCCCCCGCCCCGGCGGCGGCGCGGGGGGCGCCTCCTCCTCCTCCTCCTCCTCCCTCCTCCTCCTCCTCCTCCTCCTCCTCCTCCTCCTCCTCCTCCCTCCTCCCTCCTCCCTCCTCCTCCCTCCTCCCTCCTCCTCCTCCTCCTCCTCCGCCTCTCGGGAGCCTCGAGGCGGGGGGTCAGTGCCGGCGGGGGTCAGCCAGAGCGCCGGATCCTGCAGCGCCAGGGTCGCATCGACCCGGGTCTGGGTGCAGGGTCCTGCAGGATTCTGCAGGATCCTCCGCGCGGACCCGGGTTGGGGTGCAGGATCTTGCAGGGTTTTGCAGGCCAGACTGACCCGGGTCTGGATGGACCCGGGTCAGAAGATCCCCGAGTCTCGGGGGCTCCCGAGGACAGGAGGAGAGAACATTGCCATGAGCATAAACATGAACGCCGTAATGATAGAAGGGGAACGCCACAAGTATATAATCATCCAAGGCCAGAAGAAGAGAGGATCGCAGTAAGAAAAAGCGTTTTGAGGATAAAAGGAACAACGCCACAAGAAGAGACGCCATAAGGATAGAAGAAACCCCGAGGATAGAAGAAGCAAACGCGCCATCAGGATATAATCATCAGAAAAAAGACGCCATTCACATAAACTGTTGGCGCTCCGCGCGGATTTCTTGGATCTGCGCTGGACCCCGTTCCTTGGAGCGCGGAGCGCGCCAGGGGCGGCGCCGGAGGCGCCGCCAGGGAGGCCCAGCGCAGATCCAAGAACTCCGCGCGGAGCGCCAGCAGTTTATGTTCACGGTGCTTCTTCTCTTCTGGAGGAGGCGGGCAGGCCCAGGCCGAATCCATGCGGGGTCCGTCACTGCCCGCCCGACCACCCCAACCAACCCGAAGGCCCCGATCCGCCCTCCACTTCCAGTGGGGGTGGGTCGGGGAGCATTGAGAAGACACACGTGGAACCCGTACCCCGGCGAAATTCGGGCCTTCGGATTGGGTCGGGGTGGTCTGGTAGGTCGTCAGTCCGAGCAGATGGGCTCTCGGGCGGGGCTGGGGCAGGGACGCATCCCTCCAGAGCGTTCCGAAGTGCTCTCAGAGCATCCCAGAGCGCTCTGGGCCCAGAGATCCTGGTTTCGCAATTCTCTCGAGTCGATGTTGATTCAGATTTTTTGCGTGCAGAATCTAGCAACAGACCTAGATCCAGATGCCAAACGAGCGGCCCAAGCGGCAAACAATTTTGGCTGCAGCTCCTGGGAGATCATGTTCGGCATCGGCGCTGGTATGTCCGTGGTCGAGTGTCGGCCGAATGCATCGGGCATATCCCAGATTAATGCCACGAACATTCCGTTGAGCCTAGTTTAAAATCTTCGGCATGAGTTTGGCATGTCCCTCTACAGGAGGTATACTCAAAAATAGTATAACAGTAGTCTGGGGACGATTTTGTTTGAAATATTTGTTTGACAAGTGTTGAGCATTGTTTGACTATTTTGCATTTTTCCATACAAATCTGCCTGTGGGGGGACATGTCCGACCTAATCTTAGGCTTGATTTGGCCTTATCTGGCTTAGGGCCCCCCTAATCGAGCTTCTCAGCTGTGTGCCTGTCTTGCCCCCCTCCCTGCTGTGGGCTCCCTGTGTGCACTTCGCGCCGCGGTGGCCCAGCGCTTGCTCCGACCGACTCGCGCGCCCGCCGAGTCCGCGACAACAACTGCTTTGCCCCCCCGCCTTGCCCTGTGGGGGTTGGCCGGCCGACCACGGGCTACGTGCTGCAGCTTCGGCGGGAGGGCTACGAGGACGTGGCGCGCGTGGACCTGGGGCCGGCTGGCGAGTTCATGTTCCTGATGTCCGCGCGGTCCGCGCAGGAGGTGGCGGTCGAGAAGGCCCCCGCGTTCGCGAGGCGGGTCACGGTGCCGCTGTTCGAGACGCTGGAGCTGGACCGCGGGATCGTCTACGAGCAGGGGCCCGACCACAAGCGCAACAAGAAGCTGTGTCTGCCGTCGTTCGAGAGCAAGCGGTCCATGGGAACCTTCTATCCAGGTGCGCTTCCGCGCGGTTCCGGCACCGCGCTGGGGCGGCCGGGGAAGGCCTCCTTGGGGCTCTGTGGGGGCCTTTCGGGGGCCTCTCGGGTCTCCTGGGAGGCCTCTTGGGCCGTCTTAGGGCGCTCATGGCCCGTCCGACTCTTTCGGAGGTCGTCTTGGGGTCTTCTTGGGGCGCTTCAGCACGGCATTGGAGATGTCTCGTCTTTGGGTTCTTTTGGGGCCGTCTTGTGGGCCTTTGGCGCCACATTGTGGCCATCTTGGGTCCATCTTTGGGGCCCGTGTTGGGGCCCTCATCAGGGGCCTCTCGGGCCGTCCAGGGGCCCTCTTGGAGGCCTCTTGGGCTGGCTGATGGGTGCTGATGTCCGACGAGGCGCCAACACTAAAATGCGCCCAAAGCGCTAAGAACAAAGACGGTCGGACCGATGGATCAGATCGAGGTCGGTTCGGGGAGGGTACTCTAGTTTTCTTCGTGTTGGATGTTCTCGTGCATTCTGAGGGAGGTTCCCCTCGAGTGTTCTTCGGTTTGGCCAGCGGAGGGTCTTATTATGTTCTTGAAGGATCTTCTTCGGTCCTGGGTCCGGCCGTGCGTGGCCTGGGCATCTTCGGGCCCTCTTCGGGGCCCATTTCGAGAACGTGGGCACCTCGGGGGCCTTTGGGTCTGTCTGGGGGCCCTCCGTGTCCGACTGGGAGGCCGCCCTGGACCGATGTAGAGGCCGCAGCAGTGCTTCAGGAGGGGAAAAAACACGCAGACACAATCAATCGTCCGCTCCCAGGAAAATATGGGAAAATATGGGAGGTGCGGGGGAAGACAGAGACCCAGAACATATGGGGAAATATGGGGAATCCTTTTATTTGTGTGTATTTATTTGTGTGTCCCAAGGCCCCTTAAGTAGAGGCCGCAGCAGTGCTGTCGGACCCTGGAGTCGATCTGGTGGCCGCCTCGGACGCCAGCTGCGGACGGACACCGTGGCCTCCCGGAAGGCACTCTCGGAGCCGCCACGTTGGCGGGGGGAGGGGTCGCGGGGGGGCAAGGCGCGCGCCCCGGCGGGGCACGGGCCACTCAGGCGACCGCAAACATTCGGGGGCGGCAAAGAGGGGGGTGATGACCAGGGGGGGGGATCATCGCGGTGGCCATGATATTTCCCCAGATTTCATGGCGCCTCTTCTTATTTCATTACGTCCCTGGCCCCCCCGCTGGGCCGCGCACATGCCGCCGGTCATGATTTGCACCCCCCCTCTTGGACACCCCCCTCTTGGCCGCTCCCGAAACATGAATCAAGGGGGCGTGGATTAGCGACGGGTCCCTTTTCCACGGGAGAGCGCGGCTGTCCGCCGCCGACCGAGGCGGCACCGGCCGCATTTTGGGGCGGAGGAGGAGGACGAGGAGGCGGAGGAGGAGGAGGAGATGGAGGAGGAGGACGAGGACGAGGCCAAGGAGGAGGAGGAGGAGGAGGAGGAGGAGTAGGAGGAGGAGGAGGAGGAGGAGGAGGAGGAGGAGGAGGAGGAGGAGGAGGAGGAGGAGGAGGAGGAGGAGGAGGAGGAGGAGGACAGATCCATGTGTGCGCGCCCCCGAGCGGGGCAGGGGCCACGGGCCGTCCCTGCTCTGGTCGAGCAGCGGGGGCGCGCGTGGGGCTGGGCCCGCGCTGGAGGGGCTACCCGAGCTGCAGCGGGAGCTGCGAGGGCCCCGGAGGTGGCAGGGCCGTGTTTGTTCCGCCGTTTCCGAAGGGAGAGGTGGCTCTGTAAGAACGTTTTTTTTGAAGGCAGATCTGCCTTCAAAAAATTGGTCTACTCTGTAAGAACGGTTGTTTTTAAGGCAGATCTGCCTTCAAACAACCGTTCTTTTTGAAGGCAGATCTGCCTTCAAAAAACCGTTCTTACAGAGTAGACCTGCAAGGGGGTGGATATCATGGCGTGGGCCATGATATCTCCCCAGATCTCATGGCGCCTCTTCTCATCTCATCACGTCCCTGGCCCCCCCCGCCGGGCCGCGCACATGCCGCCGGCCATGATTTGCACCCCCCCTCTTGGACACCCCCCTCTTTTCCGCTCCCGAGAAGGGAGAGGTGGCTCTTGAGAAAAGAAGCGGTGACAAAAACGGAAAGGGGAGACGGCAGCAGAAGCGGCTCTGGAGCTGGAGCTGGAACCGGAGCCGGCAAAACACAAGCGGCAACGGAACCGGAGAAACTCCGTTGCGGAGCCAGTAGGGAAACGGCAAAACGGAAGTGGTAAAGCGAAGGAATTGCCGTTTCCAGGCTCCCCAAAGAGTGGGAGCCTTATGGCAAGAAACGCCAGAAACGTTCTTGTCCAGGGCACCTTGCGACGAACAAACGCGCGGGCCCGACGTGCACCAACCGGTGCGAGCGCGGTGGCGGATTCTGGGGTTCAGGCGGAGCTGGAGGCCCTGCGCAGGCGCTGGCACGCGCTCTGCGCGGAGGGGGGAGGCCTGGCCGAGGTGGACCTGTACGCGGAGATGCGCAGATTTACGCTGGACGTCATACTGCGGGTCACGTTTGGTCTGGGGGATGCCGCCGACGAGTACGAGCGCGCGGATGAGCTGTCGGACTGCATCTAGGTGGCCTTCGGCCCGGCCCCTCCCGCCACCTCTGTGCCTCTCGGGGGCCCCCTGGGAGAGCCCTGGGGGGCCTCTCGGAGTCCTTTGGGGGGCCTCTTGACGAAGAACTCTGGCGAGTGTATGAGCCCTGGGGCACTCCACTCCTTGCTTCACCACCTACCAAACCATCCCAACCCAACCCGAAGGCCTCAATTTGCCCTCCATTTCCAGTGGGGTGGGGTCGGGGAACGTTGAAAAAACATATGGAACCCGTACCCCCCCCAACCCGAAATTCGGGTCAAATTCGGGTCTTCGGGTTGGGTTGGGGTGGTCTGGTAGGTAGTCATTGCTGGTGGCGCGGCGGCGGATCAAGGAGTATTTGGAGCGCATCGTAGCAACGGCAAACGAGGTTCCGCCAGTTTACCAGGTGGCCCCGCGCCTCTCATCGAACTACAACGCCGTGGTTGACCGTCTGTTGCCGCAGCTGCGCGAGCTCGTCGACGACATCATTGCACAGCGCCGCGATGCCATAGCTTCAGAACTGTCCACGGTATCATCCGCACCAGCGAGTTCTTCACGCGCAGATCTGCTCTCGGTTCTCATTGGAGAGAGGACAATTGACGACACGCAGATAAGCAGGATCCTCTTCGACATCATCATTGCTGGGTCTGACACCACTGCGTCCACGCTGGCCGCAGCCCTGTACGTGCTCCACGAGCCCCGCCATCGTGCTCAGTATCTTGCCCTTGCGCGCGCCGAGGCCATGCAAGTAGACGCGGCCTCCCTGCCTTTCGACGACATCAGGACCGCCCTGCCGTTCACGACGGCCCTGGCGCGGGAGACCCTGCGCCTGTACCCGCCGGTGCCCTTCTTCGGGCGCACCTCGGTCGCCGACGCCACGGTCTGCGGGTATTCCGGGGCAGCGATTTGGGGGGACAGTCGTTGGGGGGGATGCATCGACCCCGAACCTTATGATGTTCCGACCCAATATAGCCTTGATCACACGATAGAGTTTCGAGCACCAGGGAAGTACCAGAGTGGGAGGGTATTCCCGGGTCGGGTCGGGCAGACACTGTTTCGACAAGGCTCTTCTGGGTGCTCGAACTCACTTCTGGGACGTGGGCCTTCGCGTGCGATGGGGCCGTGCGCCGGCCCCCCCCGGGACGCTGCCCCTCAGGTATGCGATCAAGAACGGGAGCACGGCCTGCTTCTCGCCGTGGTACATGCCGGGGAGCAGGCAGCGACAGACTCATGAAACCCAGAGATCCGACGCATTGACAAAGATCAAGGCGGAGGCTTTTCTCAATCTTCGGCCTCTTGGGGCCCTCGCCAGGCCCCAGGACCGTCAGAAAACGACTCGGGATGAAAAACCGGTCCTGGGGAATGGGTCGGGACTTCGGGGGACCGCGTATGGACAAAAACCACGACGTCGTATCTCTGGGAACTTTCGAGGACCCGCGCGGAATTCCTGGGTCGGCGCTGAGCCCCCCCACTGGCGGCGCCTCCGGCGGCGCCCATGGCGCGCTCCGCGCGCCATGGGAGGGGCGTCCCGGGCCGATCCGATCGACTACACGCAAGAGGGACCCTTCGCCGGAGTGACCTCCTTGGTGCGGGCTCATCAGGGTCCCTCCGATCGCCGAGCGCGACGCGACAGAAGCTCCTTGCGCGCTCGGATTTGACCATTCTGCGCCCCCTGGACTCCGCGCACCAGAGGTCGGGCCACTGGCGTTTGGGCGAGCCGAGACCTCCGCGCGGACCTCAGGAAGTTTTACGTTGGATCTTCGCGGGACCTCGCCTGTCCCCAAAATTTGTATCTTTTCTTGTGCCCGACGCGGGCTCGAGGCCGACTCGACGCGGATTTGGTGTGGATACGACGCGTCGTCGACACGGATTCGACACGGATCCGACGAGTGCGACATGGATTCGACACGCATCCCGTGCGGAGGAGGGCCGTGATGGGACAGACCAGGGTCCCCCCCCAGACCCCCGACGTCATGATTTTTTCATGACGCGACCCCCAGAGGTCCAGACCCATTCCCCGGGACCGGTTTTTCATCCCGAGTCGTTTTTTGACGCTCCCGAGGACCGGTGAGGGCCCCCGGAGGCCGAAAATAGCGAAAAACCTCCCGTCGTGATTTTTTCATGACTCGAGGAGGTCTGGGCCTGAGGATGCAGCATGTGAAGTCTCTGCCTCTGCCGCTGCTTGCTCCTCCCACGTGGGCCGCGACGAGTTCGCCTGGGGCGCCACGGCCGGGGACTTCGACCCCACGAGGTGGCTGCGGGACCCCGCGGCGGGCGGCGCGCCCTCGCCCTCGCAGTGGCTGCCCTTTGGCGCGGGCGCGCGGGGCTGCATCGGCACGCGCCTGGCGCTGACCGAGGCCATGTCGGCGGCGTGCCCCTCGAGGAGCCTCGGGGCCCAGAGATCGAGACGGAGTTTTGGTTCCCCGTGTTCGGCCTCTGGAGTCGGGCCGGACGAAAGGGGGGGGAGTGGGAAGGGGGGGGGTTACGAAATCTGCGGCATGCAGCCGGTTTAGGCCCCACCGAGGGGCCCATGCCTCGATACATGGCCGCCTCCCGGCGCCGGGAGGCGCCGGGAAAATCAGCTACGTGAGCTGATTCTCACCCCCCCCCTTCGCTATCCCCCCCTTTCGCCCGGCCCGATGGAGGCCCTCGCCAGACCGTCAAGAAACGGCTCGGTATGACCAACCGGTCCTCGGGAATGGGTCGGGACTTCTGGGGACCGCGTATGGAAATGATCCTGGCGGAGGACCCAACCGTATGCAGTTGTGAGTGCCGCCGTTGTGAAAAAACGCCTTCAGTGGAGCTCACTACGGGGCCACGAAACGCGTGAAGAGAGCGCCGAAATGAGGCGGGGCTGCCATGCGGGTGTTGCCGCTGGGGCCGCCCGCAGGGGGCCCGGAGGTCAGACGAAACGGCTCACATCTGATGTAACCCGTTGCGGCTGACAGGCACGGGGAGAAGCTGGAGAAGACATGCCGCATGTCTTCTCCAGCTTTTCCTGGTGCCGTATTCGTCGAGGCTGGGGCGGAAGGGGGTGGGGTCGGTGAGGGGGCTGAGAGGGGCTGGGGTTGCATGCCGAGAATGCCAGTGGATAGATGGGATGGCTTGGATAGATCGCATGGCAGCTTGTGAGAGTGACGGGAAGCTTCTCCAGCTACGTTCGCATGCCGCGCCCGCATTGCGGGCGCGGCATGCGAACGCAGCCACTGGGGTCTTCGGTGGAGCTCCCCATGGGGCCACGAAGCGCGTTAGGGGTGTGCCTAAAGTTAAGTAAGGGGATTGGCGGCATGCGAACGCAGCCAATGGGGCCTTCGGTGCAGCTCCCTTTGGTGCCAAGATGTGTGTGAGGGTGTGCCGAAGTGAGGGGGATGATGTGAGGTGGGAGCAGCGGGAGGAGAAGAAGAGGAGTGGAGGGGGGGGACGCGGGGACTGTCTTTTCAAAACGATGACCCAACACCACAGGATGTTTGGGACAAATCAAGACATCGGATCTATGGGGACGTGTGTTAGCCAAGTGTGCGTGCGTGTGTGTGTGTGTGTGTGTGTGTGTGTGTGTGTGTGTGTGTGCGTGTGTGTGCGTGTGTGTGCGTGTGTGTGTGTGTGTGTGTGTGTGTGTGTGTGTGTGTGTGTGTGTGTGTGTGTGTGTGTGTGCGAGCGTGATTCCTCCGTGCAGCTCCACCGGCAGCACGCAGCCTGTGCCATTCTGTTTACATCGCCCAAGTCGTATCGGAGGGCTTCGGTGGACCAGCGCACGTTGGCGCTAGCACGCGTCCTGAGGATTAGGTCGGGCATGCCCCTCTACAGGCAGATTTTTTGTAGGAAACATGACACATAGCCAATTTCCTTTTGAAATTACCCTGGCGACGTACCCAACCCTTGCGCAATGCGGGGCACAAGTACATCAGGATTGCTACAACGGGGGCGATGACGTAACATGGACGCATGTGATTTTGCGAGCAGCAATCGAAAGGCTCGCAGGCCCCCGATCAAGATATAAGGGCTACGCAATAACAAGTCACCCCCGTTGGCTGTGCCATGCGCCCGTTGCACCCAACGTATCCCGCAGCAGCTCTTGAGAGCCCCCCGCGGGATACGTGTAGGCGCAACGTTATGGCCATCGCCCGGCAGATGGTGTGTTTCACAAATCACCTCCGTTGTCTGTGCCATGCGCCCGTTGCGCCCAACGTATCCCACAGCAGGTCTCCAGAGCCCCCCAAGGACGGCGAGGTCTCGCTCAGGTCCCCGCGGTGCCTCAGTCCGTTGGACCCAGCAGCAGCCCTCGAAAGTGGCGACAGTGTCGCAGATCGCAGCCCCCAATGGACGGCGAGGTCTCGCTCAGGTCCCTGCAGTGCCTTAGCCCGCTGGACCCACGAGCAGCCCTCGAAAGTGGCGACAGTGTCGCAGATCGCAGCCCCCCCCAGGGACGGCGAGGTCTCGCTCAGTTCAGTCCACTGGTCGTACGAGCAGCCCTCGAAAGTGGCGACAGTGTCGCAGATCGCAGCCCCCCCAGGGACGGCGAGGTCTCGCTCAGGTCCCCGCGGTGCCTCAGCCCGCAGGACCCACCAGCAGCCCTCGAAGGTGGCGACAGTGTAGCAGATCGCAGCCCCCCAGGGACGGCGAGGTCTCGCTCAGGTCCCTGCAGTGCCTCAGCCCGCTTGACCCAGCAGCAGCCCTTGAGAGTGGCGACAGTGTCGCAGATCGCAGCCCCCAGGGACGGCGAGGTCTCGCTCAGGTCCCCGCGGTGCCTCGCTCCGCTGGACCCAGCAGCAGCCCTCGAAAGTGGCGATCGTGTCGCAGATCGCAGCCCCCCCAGGGACGGCGAGGTCTCGCTCAGGTCCCCGCGGTGCCTCTTTCCGCTGGACCCACGAGCAGCCCTCGAAAGTGGCGACAGTGTCGCAGATCGCAGCCCCCCCCAGGGACGGCGAGGCGCTCAGGTCCCCGCGGTGCCTCAGTCCGCTGGACCCACGAGCAGCTCCCGAACGTTGCGACAGTGTCGCAGATCGCAGCCCCCCCCAGGGACGGCGAGATCTCGCTCAGGTCCTCGCGGTGCATCAGTCCGCTGGACCCACCAGCAGCCCTCGAAAGTGGCGACAGTGTCGCAGATTGCAGCCCCCAGGGACGGCGAGGTCTCGCTCAGGTCTCCGCGGTGCCTCAGTCCGCTGGACCCAGCAGCAGCCCTCGAACGTGGCGGCAGTGTCGCAGATCGCAGCCCCCCCCAGGGACGGTGAGGTCTCGATCAGGTCCCCGCGGTGCCTCACTCCGCTGGACCCACGAGCAGCCCTCGAAAGTGGCGACGGTGTCGCAGATCGCAGCCCCCCCCAGGGACGGCGAGGTTTCGCTCAGGTCCCCGCTGGTCTTCAGTCCGCAGGACCCACCAGCAGCCCTCGAACGAGGCGACAGTGTCGCAGATCGCAGCCCCCCAGGGACGACGAGGTCTCGCTCAGGTCCCCGCGGTGCCTCGCTCCGCAGGACCCAGCAGCAACACTCGAAAGTGGCGACAGTGTTGCAGACCGCAGCCCCCCAGGGTCGGTGAAGTCTCGCTCAGGTCCCCGCGGTGCCTCAGTCCGCTAGACCCAGCAGCAGCACTCGAAATTGGCGACAGTGTCACAGACCGCAGCCCCCCAGGGTCGGCGAGGTCTCGCTCAGGTCCCCGCGGTGCCTCTTTCCGCTGGACCTCACAGCAGCCCTCGAAGGTGGCGACAGTGTCGCAGATCGCAGCCCCCCAGGGACGGCGAGGTCTCGCTCAGGTCCCCGCGGTGCCTCAGTCCGCTGGACCCACGAGCAGCTCCCGAACGTTGCGACAGTGTCGCAGATCGCAGCCCCCCCCAGGGACGGCGAGATCTCGCTCAGGTCCTCGCGGTGCATCAGTCCGCTGGACCCACCAGCAGCCCTCGAAAGTGGCGACAGTGTCGCAGATCGCAGCCCCCCAGGAACGGTGAGGTCTCGCTCAGGTCCCTGCGGTGCCTCAGTCCGCTGGACCCAGCAGCAGCCCTCGAAGGTGGCGACAGCGTCACAGATCGCAGCCCCTTGGCAAGATGCACGCACAAGAGGTACCGCAGCCAGGATGCACACACACACACTCACACACACACACGAGGCACGCACACGACAAGAGGAGACAAGTGGAAAACGAGTGGCGAGAGGCGGGAGGAGGAGGAGGAGGTCTGGAGACCGCAGTGCTTTATTCAAAACGAATACCCTTCCAAGGAGGGCTGGGAAATAGTCAAAGCATCGTCCCCAGACTTTTTTTTCCAATGTTTGAAGGCCTTCCCCGAGAGGGCGGGGAGGCTTCTCGTGGGGCAGGCGGGCCCTCTCGGACCTCCGAGGGGGACAAGGCACCAGTGGAGGGTTTCTCCGAGGGGCCTGGGCGACCCGTCCTCCTCCTCCTCCATCTCCTCCTCCTTCTCCTTCATCTCCCCCTCCTCCATCTCCTCCTCCACCTCCCCCTCCTCCTCCTTCTCTTCCTCCTCCTCCTCCTTCTCCTCCTCCTCCTCCATGTCCTCCTCCTCCTCCTTCTCCTCCTCCTACTCTTCCTCCTCCTTCTCCTCTTCCTCCTCCTCCCCCTCCTCCTCCTCCATCTCCTCCTCCTCCCCCTCCTCCTCCTCCTCCTCCTCCTCCTCCTTTTCCTCCTCCTATCTCCTCCTCCTCCTCCTCCTCCTCCTCCTCCTCCTCCTCTTTCTTCCTCCTCCTCCTCCTCCTCCTTCTCCTCCTCCTCCTCCTCCTCCTCCTCCTCGGGTCGCCTACGGCCCAGGGGGAACCGTGCAGGCACCGGTGCCGCTCTCGTCTCGGTCTCGCCCTTTTTGGGGGCCTCCCTGGGGGGCCCTCGTCGCCACCGCTGCATTCGCGTCGAAGTCCTGGTCTGAAGGCGCCCCGGGAGAGGTCTGGGGAGCAGCGGTACCGGCATCTCTTGTCGGTGTGACGCAGGAACTCGGGTTTGCCGACGTTTCTGGACGCGCCCGTCTTTCATTTCGACGGTCCAGTTTCCGTTGGCTGTCTGCAGCGGGAGGTCGCGCCAAGTTTCATAGCGCGTCTCGTCGATCTCCTGACGGCCCCGTTAGGCCAACCCGAGTCCCCCGAACGCAAGTCTTACGTCTTCCCGATCTAAGTCTCCCCTAGATCGGCGGTTTGCAGATGGGGTCCTACAGGCGGGCCGCTGAAGAAGGAACCCTTTTCGTCTGGGAGGGGCTCAGTGCTAGTTAATTGTTCCACAGTTTGTCTGAGTTAGGTTCTCCATGGGAAATCGAAGCCCAACTTACGGAACAAGGGGCCTCGCTCCTTATTTTGGAGTTCCTGATGATAGCGTTTCGTCTGTACGTCTCCCCGATCTCGGTCTCCCCAAGATCGACGGTTCGAAGATGTGGCTCCTGAGTGGTGGGGCCCCAAGAGGGCGGGGCGCCTCATGGGTAACCTTAAGTCGGGCATGGAGGAATATTCAAAAATAGTTCAAAATAGTCAGGGGACGATTTCTGGACTATGTTTTTGATTATTCTATAGGTTTACGCCACATCCGTCGACCCCTATGAACTATTGCGCCTCCAGGACTGCATTTCACGAGGCTTGTCCGAATCATAACACGGCGCTCGACATCGTTCTTGTTGCTTCGTTGTTGTTATCGTACCTCTTGGTGCTCTTGTATGGCCTTTTGGTGGCATTTTGGCCTGACTGCAGGCCATCTCCGGCCGCCTCGAGGCATCTTGGGCTCAGTTTTGGGGCCTCTTGGGGGCTTCCTGTGGGCTCCTTGGAAGCCTTGAGGTTCTCTTGGGGGTCCCTCAGGGCCTCTTGGGGTGTTCTTGGGGCAAGCTGGGGGCGTCTTGGGGCCGAAGGCTCGAAAAGGTGCCCTCTGGACTCCGTCTTGGAGCCGTCTGGGGGCCCTCTTGTGCTGTCTTGGGGGCTTCGTGGGCTATTGTTGGACCCTCTTCGACCCTTCTTGGGGGCCCCTTTGGCCGTCTGGGAGCGTTCTTGAAGGTTTCTCTGCCCGTCTGGGACGTTGTGAAAACCGAGTAGATGAGCATGCGATGGGAATGGGACGATTTTTGTTTCATGGGAACCTCTTGGGGCGCATCTTGGGGGCCTTTTGAGGCGCCTTGGCAGCTTCGGAGGCCGCCTGTAGGCCATCGTGGGCGTCCATGGGCGATATTTCAGCGAATCGTGGCCCCCTGGGACCGTCTGGGGAGCGTTTTGGTGCCTTTTTGGCTAGTTTTGGAGCCCTCCGCTCCCCCGTGGCGCGTTCGGTCCGGGGTCGGGCTCGGCCAGGGGGAGGGCGGTCAAATTGCCGGTTTGATATCTTACACGCCTAGAGACCCACAAGAGGTCGGCGGATTATTTGGTGTGCGTATATATATATATATATACATTTACAAATTGACTATTTTAATTTTTTCCTCCAACACCTGCCTGTAGGGGGTCATGCCCGACCTCAGGGTCACCTTTTTGGTGCGGGCCCCATGGGGGGCCCGCCGGTCGCCGAGATGCGCAGAGCGCGGTGCGATTGCAGCGGCTTGCGCGCCTGGATTTGGCCCCCCTGGCGGGCGGCCCTCAGAGGCAGCGCACCGAAGGCCTCAGAGGAGGAGCAGGTGCTTCTACCGCTACTCTGGGTTTCTTAACAAGAGTGGGGGGGTCCCCCCCCGACGGGGGTCAACCTCGCCTCGTCGTCGCGCCGCGACGGGGGTCGGAGCGCTTTCGGCGCGCGGTGGCTACCCGCGACGGGGGTCGATGTGGGGCTGTCAGCGGGGGTGACGCCCCCCCCGACGCTCATTAGGAAACTCGGAATACCCTTCGCCCGTGTTCGCTTTGGCGGGCTTCCTCGGAGGCCCTCGTCGCCACCGTTGGACTCGCCTGGAAATTCTTGGTCCGAACGCACCCCGAGAGAGGTCCGGGGAGCAGCGGCAATCATGGGTGCCTGTCGGTCCTCCCGCTGGCGGCCCTCCGAGACCGCGCCCCAGAGGTCCCTCCTGCCCAGCGTCGCCCTTTCCCTTGTAGCCGATGTGCCGTCCTCGGGGCCTCATCCCTCGGGGCCCCGTCTTTGCACCCGCCGACCGGAGGGGCCTATTCCAAGTCTCGCAGTGGCAGGAGGGAGCCAACAGCAAGGTTTGGCGGCGCGTCGGGGATCCCCTCCCAGGAGCGGTGCAATCGCAACACAATCTCCCCCGAGGGTCAACGAAGGGCTCCACACCGAGACCCCCCCCCATAATCTTGTCCGGCGAGGCCCAACATGCTAATATTATCTGTGCGTCGCCCACCCTTGTGGCGACGCGCGCACCGAGAAGTCTTCTCGTATATGCGACGTGGCGGGCGCCTTCTGGCCACACCCCTCGGGAAAGGATCTACTACAAGATGGGTCTACTATATGTTCGGGTCGGACGCGCGCCTCCCAGGAGGACAAGTACTAGTATGTCTCTGTTCCAAGAATGAAAAGACTATAAACATGAACTTTTGGCGCTCCGCGCGGATTTCTTGGATCCGCGCCGGGCCCCCCCCCGGCGGCACCTCGCGCCAGGGAGGGGGTCCAGCACCAAAAGTTCATGCTTATAGCGTTGTTTCTTCTCCATCTGTGCGTCCGAGCCGATTTTTCTGAGAGGGCCTCTTGGAGGCCAGGCGCCCTTCTCTCAGAAGCCGCCCGCACTTCCAAGCAGCTTCTCGGCCTTTTTGTTCGGTGGCCGCCCCCCTCGCGCAAGCTCCCTCGGTGCGCGCCGCCGAGCCGTCGTGGGCCTTGCCCAGCTGCTTCGCGACTTCGACTTCGCGTTCGCTCGCGACGGCGAGCTCGAGTTCACCTACGACATCACCCTCAACCTCGAGGGCTCGACCATCTGCACGATCGCTCCCCGCGCGGGGCTCTAGAGGGGCACGTCGCTGCCCGTTCCTCCTCGTCTCCGCCGAGGGTGGTCCTCGCAGTGAGGCTTCTTCGCCCGTCGCGGTGTATGCTGTGCCGCAGACTCCCGAGATGAGCTTGTGGTGCAAAAGTCGATGGATTCCCATCGATTCGCGGGGTGCACGTCCAGAATGCGTAAAGTCGGCGTTGCGGGGCTTCTAGAGGGCCTCCTGGAGACCCGGAGGAGGGCCTCTTGGAAGCTTCTCGAAGCTGGGGCACTCCTGTAGGCCTCCTGGGGGCATCTTGGGGTGCCTTATGGGCCATCTCTGGGGGGAATGCTCTCAGGGTCCCTCCCACTTCCCCATCTTGGGCGCCTCAGGGGGCCTTCTTCGGGACCTCTTGGGCCGTCCTGGGAGCCTCTCGGACCGTGTTGAGAGATCCTCTTGGGCCGTCTGTGGGCTTTGTTGCAGGACTCCAGTGCCGTCTTGGGCCGACCTCAGACGCCTTGTGGGATGCGACAATCACTGAGACATAATTGGTATTTGATAGCGTATGCGTCCGCAGACCCTCATGGGGGTCCTCTTGGGGTCCTCTTTGGCCGTCTTAGGGGCCTCTGGGGCCGTCTTCAGCCATCTGGGGCCGCCTTGGGGCCCTCGAGATCGCTCTTGGAGGCTTCTGGGACCACGTGGAGACCCCTTGTGCCGTCTTGGGGCCCTCTTGGGTGACTCTTGAGCCGTCTTCGGGGCCGCACGGCAAGACCCCGAAGATAATGGAGTAACCTACTATGGGACATTTGATGCTATCCCATATCCGAAGTGGGGCTATTGTTTTCTAGCCCCCCCCCCCCCGCGCGGAAAAAAAACACACCCTCACCTCGTCTCTTCTTTCTTTCGAAAGGCCGCTACGGGCAGTGTTCTGCGCCACCTTGTGAGCACGAGGCACTGGACATCTTGGCGCCTCAGAGCGCGTCGAGTCGAGTAAATGACGTCTCATGCCATGCTACCATTGTATCCAGCGGACCCACTGATATGGTCACTTGCTGCAGATGTTTTGGGTACGTCTCGGGTAACTGTGTAGAATCCGGCAAGCTGCATGGAGGGGGGGGGCGGCGAGGTCCGTCGGGAAATTTGGACTTTACGCAGGGCGGGAATCACTTGAACGCCTTTTCGTCCGAGCGCGCGAGTGTTTGAAACGTTGGCGGGAGGGGCATGCTGGGGTCGGGGTGGGGGGACATGCCATGTTCGTGAACTTGCCTGGGTCTAAAGTCAGACGCCCTCCAAGGGGTGAATGATGGACTGCGAGCGGTGCGGCGACCGGTATTGAGCGGATTTGAGCCGGGCGGGAGAGCTGCCGTTGTTTGAGTTGGCCCTCCCCCTCCGATGTAGGGTGCTCCACCCGTTGCTCAGTGCTCGGCTGTGCCGCTGCGCGCACGGATCTGTTGCTTCTTTTGCAAGTCCGGGGTCCCCAGCCCGCCCGAGCCTTTCCCCTGGGGCGGGCTTTTTATCTTGTGTATTGCTGTTGACGGTCGCAGGCCGCAACTTGTCAAACAAACGACACATCTATAATTGCCAGCTTGGACCCGTGTCAAATAGTAAGTCGGTGCACTGTGTTTGTAGGCTACGTGGTGCAAAGTATGAGGTGTACGCTAGATTGCGAAGACTATGTGGTGCAAGCCATGCTGTGCAATCTACGAGGTGCAATTCTTTTTGTGTCAACTCATGAGTTGTCAACTCCACTGCTCGCGCGATCATCCCACCCTCCGACCCGCAACTTGGCTCGCAAGCCTATGCGGTTGCGGCGGTTGCGATGACTGCTTGGCCATGGCTGGTGCTTCTCTGCGGCCGCGCTGGCGCGCGCAAGCTCGCGCGTAGAGCGGCCAGCTGGTTTGGCACAGCCGGTGCGGCCATGCTGTTCCGGTGGCAACGTCCCAGCGCGTGTCAAGGGCTGCGCTGGCGCACGCGCACTTCAATGCGGTTCGGATACTCGAGTGGGCGCGGTATCATGATGACGCCGACAACGGCGTCAACAATGATGATCGTAGCGGTGGTGCAGGCGATGATGGCGATGACGACGGTAAAGCCAATGACGTTGCCATTGCTCGTAACGCCGGTTGATGAAGTTGCTTCAGTGATGAAGGCGGCAATGGCGGCGACTGTCGCTGACGACGACGTGATGCGGCGGCTCTGATGAGGGCCACGGTGGGGAAGTGAGCGCGCGCGCTGAAGTCCAAGAGCCATGGCACAATCTCTGTTTGAAAACTCTTGGTTTTCACTTCTTTTTTTGTACAGGTGATTTTGGACAGGTGTCGACACTCTCGCGTGGCGGGGCGCCCGTGTGGCCCGCGGGGTATTATCTGATACGGATTCGCGCATTGGGTGCACGCGGATACATCGCGCGGCGAGATTTGAATGCGGGTTCTTGTCGAGATTGATCAATTCACACGTTTTGCCAATTGTTTAAGACGTCCGCGTGAGCAGAACACTTACAGCATGTGTGATGAATTGCACCTCAGGGCTTTCATGTTTCTGTCGAAGTCGTAGCAACTCTGTTGTGTGTCGGTACTATTTCGACATGCGCGCGCGTGGGGACGTCTTTGTTTTTCGGTACAGGGGATTGTTAAACCAGTTGTTTCTGGTATTGTTTGATGGTTGTTATTCTTCCGGTCAAGACGGGTTTGCGCGCTGTTATTTGACACAAGGCATGGAGGGCGAGTCCCGTTTTGCCTGGGGTGGTTTGAGTTCATATGGAAAGGGAGCGATGCGGCAAGATCATGTGCAAATTGAGGGGTCTCAAGAGGGCACCAGTACCCTCGGTGTTAGAGAGTGGTCGAGTATATTGCCCTCTCGCAATAATGATATATGTGATCCAAGTTTTGCGGTGCAAACTCTGCCGTGTAAGCCATTCAGTGTAACACATGCGGTGTGTTATGTGCGATGTAAGCAAACTGATGTGAGCTAAGCAGCCCAACGTATGTAGTGTAAGTCACGTGGTTGAAGCTATGTTTTGTGTAATCAATATGGTGTGAGCTAGGTTGTGTAAGTTATGTCGTGCAAGCTATGCGGTGCAACCTATGTGGTGTAAGCTATGCTGTGTAAGCTGTGTGGTTCTAGCTCTGTGGTGTAAGCTGTGTGATGTAAGCTATGTGGCGCAATCCGTGAGCGGATTTTTTGGTAATATAGCTTTGGTCATTCGTGTTTCTTCAATCGGGCAATCGGCGGCCACTTCGAGGGCACGTCCTGGCTGACATGCCACAATCGCACGCTGAAGACGGACGAGGTACCGGTTGACATTGGCGGGGTGCGTTGATGCAGGTGTTGATTGTGGTGGACAGAGCTGCTACATCGCCCCTTGCCTCAACCATGAGGCTCTGCACTTGATCGACCGTACATGCGACAGTTTAGCTAATTTGATGACGTCCTGACGGCTTCCACCAGAGCGGTGGCGGGATCAAGTTACATGGCGACGACATAGGTACTAGGTCATGGTGCACCACCTCGTCAATTACACCATGAATGCCCAGCTAGCGTGGGCTTTACAATTCGATTGGCCTCTCCCGCGCCGAACATCTGTCATCCAATTGTTCATAAAGATGGCGGCGCGCAGGGCAGAGCTTGAACGGCCCCTGCATGGATCGTAGCAGTAAGCTCGGTACTGTTGATGAGCACAAGCTGGCCATGGGAGGCACGCTTCTCGAGGTCTAGCCGACCCCTTCTCTGCGGAGGCGGCTGCACTCAGTGCAGCCGCCTCCGCAGAGAAGGAGTGGCTCAGCGGTGCGTGGACTGGCTCAGCGTTTGGCGCGTGCATGATGTGTGAGCGCGCAGTGGAGTGTCCGTCTAGTCTTCGGTCGGGCATGTCCCCCGACAGGCGGATTTTGGACGACAGATGAAAGATACCCAAAACATGTTATAAACACGTTCATACATGGTCAAATATCGCCCCTGACTATTTCTGGACTGTTTTTGAATGTTCCCCCTGTAGAGGGACAGACCCGACTTAAGTCTAGTCTGGATGGGCTTCGGGGCGCAGCGCGGAGCGGAGCGATAGATGCAGCGTGCGAGCTGTGTGGATCGGGCGCTGCGGCCGCCGGGCGCGCGAGGTGCCCGCGCGGCGCCCACGCGCTGCCCACGGGCGGGCACCAGGAAGAACCCCGCCGCGCCCGCCCAGCTCGCGAGGCACCCGCGGGGGCGCGGCCGCGGGCGGGCCCCCGGGCGGAACTCCGCCACGCCCGCGCGCGGCGCGCACGAGGCGACCACGAGGCGCCCTACGGCGCTAGGGGCGGGCAGCGCAAGCGAAGCCCCGCCGCGCCCACCCCGAGCAGGAGGCGCCCAAGGTGCGGCCCTGCGCACGCGAGGCGCCCACTGCAGACGCCCATGGGCGGCCTCGGGCGGGCCCGGGGCGAACTTCCGTCGATGCTCCTCCTCCTCCTATTGTACCTCCCCCTCCTCCTCGTCCCCCTCCTCCTCTCCCCCCTCCTCCTCCTCCCTCCTCCTCCTCCTCCTCCTCCTCCTCCTCCTCCTCCTCCCCTCCTCCCCCTCCTCCTCGTCCCCCTCCTCGTCGTCCTCCTCCTCCTCCTCCTTCTCCTCCTCCTTCTCCTCCTCCTCCTCCTTGTCCCCCTCATTTGTCAGAGCAGGGAGCACCAAGTGCAAGCTCTGTGCTGGTCTGCCAGGTGTGTGCTGGAGGCGCCCCCCGGGCCGCCACCGCGCGGCCGCCGGCGAGCCCACCACGCGAGGCTCGGCGGCGCTCGCCCTGCGCACGAGGCCGCTCGCGAGACGCCCACGGGGGGCGACGGGCGGGCACCGGGCGACGCCTCGCCACGCGCAGCGCAGGAGGCGCCCAGGGGGCGTCCCCGGGCGGGCACCGAGCCGAAGCCTCGCCACGGCGACCCAGGCGAGAAGCCCCGGGTGCTGCTCTGCGCTGCAGCGCGGCAGGGGGCGATGCGCTCCGGCGCTCGGGTCGCCGGGGAGGCGCGGCAGACGGACTGTCTGGCAGCAAGGGAGGGCGCGCGGGAGCAGAGGCGGGCGCAGAGGGCAGGGGGGGAGGGGGAGGGCACTCACGGCTGATAGCGTTTTTGGATGAGCGCGCCACAGCGGCCAGCCGGGGCTGAAGTGCCTTGGCAGTGGACGCGGGACGGCGTCACGGCCACAGCACGGCATCACGGCATCCTCGAGGGGATTTTGCCATGACTGCGTTGGAGGTTTGGGGTCATTCGCAATTTCTGCCCAAGCGATTTCTCCCGATCATTTCTCCTCTCTTCATCACGCGCCGCCCGAGCGCGCCATGGCGTCCTCGAAGTCCACGGGCCTCGGCGAGCCCATCCTCGATGGGCTGCCAATCTGCGTGCCGCAGATCCTGATGCCCCGCGCGGACATCCCCCTCGACAAGTGGGCGACGGTGGCGTGCGACCAGTTCGAGTCGGAGCCCGCGTACTGGAAGGAGATGGCCGCGCACGCCGAGGGCAGCCCCTCGGCGCTGAACATCGTCTTCCCGGAGGTCTACCTCGCCTCCGTCACGGGGGCGGACCCGTCCGAGGACACGAAGCGCATCGAGCAGATCGGCAAGACCATGAAGCAGTACGTCGCTGACGGCGTCTTCCGCGAGCGCGCCCCGGCCTTCCTGGCCCTCGACCGCAAGACCGAGCAGGTTGCGTCCCGCAAGGGTCTGATCGTGGCGGTCGACCTGGACGAGTACAACTACAACTGCCCGGAGCCCACGCTCATCCGGCCCACCGAGAAGACCATCGTGGCTCGGCTGCCCCCGCGCATCGCCATCCGCAAGGACGCCCCGCTCGAGCTGCCCCACATCATCATGATCATCGACGACCCCGGCAAGACCGTGATCGAGCCCCTGTTCACCACCGAGGGCCTCACGACGCCGGAGTACGAGTGCTCCCTCTTCAAGGGCGCCGGCTCCGTGAAGGGCCTCACCGTCACCCCGAAGGGCACCGAGCACGTGGCCTCGGCGATGAAGGCGTTGGCGGCGAAGGAGTTCGCCGCCGCCGAGGCGGGGAAGCGCAAGCCGTCCACCATCCTCATCGGCGACGGGAACCACTCGCTGGCCACCGCCAAGAGCTGCTGGGAGAACCTGAAGTCCCAGGCCGGGATCGACAAGGAGACGCACCCGGCGCGCTTCGCTCTCGTGGAGCTCCAGAACCTGCATGACGACGGCGTGGTCTTCGAGCCCATCCACCGCATCCTGGAAGGAGCCAGCGCGGACGAGGTCCAGGCGACGCTCGAGACGGCCTGGGGCTGCAAGGCCACCCCCTTCGTGAGCCCCCAGCCGATCCACTCCGTCGTCATCGTGAGGCCAGAGGGCAAGTTCACGATGGTGCCGCCGATGGACAAGCTGCCCATCGTGTCGATGACGGAGCCCATGGATGACTTCGTGGCGAAGCACCCCGAGGTGAAGATCGGCTACGTTCACGGCGAGGAGCCAGTTGAGGACGCCGTGAAGGAGGGCAAGGCCGTTGGCCTGTTGCTGCCCAAGCTGGACAAGTCTCGCTTCCTCGAGACGGTGCATGCTATTGGCACGCTGCCCCGCAAGGCCTTCAGCATGGGCGAGGCCAACGAGAAGCGCTTCTACATTGAGGCGCGCAACATCCTGCCGTGAGGGCATGTAGGAGAGAGCGCTCAGCGAGAACGATTTTCCTCGAAAATATATGTGTCGTCGCAGTTTTGTAGGTATTTACATTTTTCAACGCAGGCGCGCATGCTTCGAGTATACTGCGGCTGTGAACTCGAAGTCTAAGATACGAGCTATGCACAGATGCCAAGCACCCTATTTCTTTCTCTCGCCTTGATGCCATTGCAAGCTCGGTGAGCAGCCCGATGCCAATCATCTTCGTTGTCCTTATCCTCCTCTCATTCTCAAAGCCTTCCCTCTCCCTCCATCTCCCGTCTCGCCCTGCTCATTTGTTACCGTCGTACCCTCCCGCCCCGCTTCGTGGGGGTCAGAGATCGGCTCAACTTGCAGAAGACATGTCTGAATCCACGTAAGCTTCTGGAGACCTACGCGGACTTCTGTTCCAGGTGCTCCAGCGCGGGCCCAAGACATCCTCCTCCTCCTCCTCCTCCTCCTCCTCCTCCTCCTCCTCCTCCTCCTCCTCCTCCTCCTCCTCCTCCTCCTCCTCCTCCTCCTCCTCCTCCTCCTCCTCCTCTTCCTCCTCCTCCTCCTCCTCCTTCTCCTCAGGTGGTCTGCCGAAACAGGCGGCCCATCGTGGCCACCCCACCCCCGTCGTGGCCCCAAGAGATCACTGGGGGCCCTCGTCGAGGCCCCCTGTGCCTCTCTTTGGGGGCGATCTCGCTGGCCTCTTGGGCTGTCTTGGAGCGTCGGGAGCCCGAACTGGCGAGAACGCCCAAACCCTTCAAACACCTGCGTATTGCCAAATATCAGTGAGGTCTGCTTCTGGTGCCTTTCGTAAGAGAGTTATTGCAGCTGTCTTTGGGCGCTCTGCGCTCCTCCTCAGCTGCCTTGACGCCACCTTGGGTGCCTTGGAGCGCTCGTGGGCCGTCCCGGAGGCCTCTTGGACCATCTTGAAGGCGTCTCGGCGCCCTCCTGGCCCGTCCGGGGGCTCGCCAGCCTCTGAACAAGTCACGCGGGAACACGGGGACACGCGGGAAGCTTTTACACATTTGAGAAATGGGGGTCGGGGCCACTGATTCGTCAATCCTCAGGACTGGGGACACAGGGGTCAAAGGACCAGAGGGCACGCCATGATGATGCTGCTGCTGATGCTGCTGCTGATAACGACGACGACGATCATGATGATGCTGATGATGATGCTGCTGCTGATGATGATGATGATCGTGGTGATGATGACGACGATGACTGTGACGATGATGATGACGGTGATGGTGACGATGACGACGATGAGGTTGATGATGTTGATGATGAAGATGATTATGTTGATTATGTTGATGAACTTGGTGATGATGATTCTGGTTGTGTGAGTATGGTTATGATGAGGACGATGATGAGGAAGATAATGGTGATGAGCATGAGGATGAGCACGACGGTGAAGATGAGGTCATCATGCTGCCCATGATGATGCAGGAGGAGGAGGAGGAAGGTGATGAGGAGGACCATGATGATGGTCACGACGATGACGACAATGGTGATGATACTGATGCTGATGATGATGATGATGGTGATGTCGATGATGAGCATGATGATGATGATGATGACGATGCTGGCGATGCTGATTCAGATGATGATGATGATGATGGTGGTGGTGGCGGTGGTGATGATGCTGATGATGATGATTCTGTTGATGATGCGGATGCTGCTGATGATGATGCGCATGTTGATGCGACTGATGATGATACTGATGCTGCTGCTGATGATGCTGCTGATGCTGTGCATGCTGATGATGCGGATGATGAGCGCTGATGATGATGATGATGATGCTGATGATGATTTGACGATGGGGATGATGGTGAGGATTATGGCGATGACGAAGATGCTGCTGATGCTGAGGAGTCGTATGCTTTTCATGATGATGCTGGTGTCGTCGATACTGACGATTGTGTTCATGATGATGATGATGGTGGTGATGGGACTGATCACGATGATGATGATGATGATGATGATGATGTCGATGATGCTGATGATGATGGTGATGAGGAGGATGCCGAAGAGGATGATGATGATGATGCCACTGATGAGGATGGTGATGATTATGACGATGCTGCTGATGATGATGCGCATGATGCTGATTCTGATTATGCTAATGCTGCTGACGACGATGACGATGGTGACAATGTCCGGATTGATTATGATGATGATGATGATGGTGATGACGACATTGTTGATGCTGATCATCATGATGATGATGCTGCTGTTGCTGCTGCTGATGATGATGGTGACGATGGTGACGATGATAATGACGATGATGATGCTGATGGTGATGATGATGCTGATGACGATGATGACGATGAGGACGATGATGATGATGCTGATGATGATGATGATGATGATGATGATGATGATGATGATGAGGCTCACGATGCTGATTATGATGATGCTGATAATGATGATGATCATGCTGATGCTCGGGTAGTGACGATGGTGATGATGATGCTGTTGCTGACGATGATGCTGATGGCGCTGATCCTGATTATGATGGTGGTGGTGGTGATGGTGATGTTCTTCATGATTCTTGTGGTGATGATGGTGACGTTAGTGGTGATGCTGATGATGATGATGCTTATGCTGATGATGATGCTGATGGTGGTGATGATGACACTGATGATGTTGTAGATGATGACGATGGTGCTGATGGTGATGATGCTGATGCTGCTGCTGCTGGTGATGATGGTGATGATGATGCTGATGACGATGATGACGATTATGGTGATGATGATGCTTATGATGATGATGAGGAGGCTGATGATGATGTTGGTTATGATGATGATACTAATGATGATCATGATGATCATGATGATGGTGATGATGATTATCATGATCATGATGATCGTGATACTGATGATGCTGTGGATGGCGACGATGGTGATGATGATGCTGCTGTTGACGATGATGCTGATGGCGATGATGCTGATGATGATGGTGTTGGTGGTGATTGTGATGTTATAGATTATTCTTGTGGTGATTGTGGTGATGCTGGTGGTGATGCTGATGATGATGCTTATGCTGCTGCTGCTGATGATGATGATGATGGTGGCGGTGGTGATGATGTGCATGATGCTGTTGTCGATGATGATAATGCTGATGCTGATGCTGCTGCTGATAAAGCTGCTGAAGCTGATGATGATGATGATGATGATGATGATGATGATGTTGATGCTGATGCTGATGCTGATGCGGATGATGATGATGATGATGATGATCATCATCATGATGCTGATGATGCTGATGATGCTGCTGATGATGATGATGATGATGATGATGATGATGATGATGATGATGATGATGATGATGATGATGATGATACTGAGGAGGAGGCGGAATGGGAAGAGGAATCGAGGAGGAGGAGGAGGGGGAGGAGGAGGAGGAGAGGGAGGAGGAGAGGAGGAGGAGGAGGAGAGGAGGAGGAGGAGGAGGAGGAGGAGGAGGGGGAGGAGGATGGGGGAGGATGCGGCGGAGATCCAGGCGGAGGAGGAAGATCAGGAGGAGGAGGAGGCAGATGTCGGAGCCAGGATGATGAGGAGGCAGAGGAGGAGGCAGGAGGTTTGGTCCCAGAGGTTCCCGGCGGCGTCCGACAATTCCGTGAGTTCGGGGGATCTTTGAAAGTCCCACAGAGCCCTGAGCCTTTTATTCGTCGGAGGGCCAGTCGAGTAATATTTGCGGCCCTCGCCAGCATCTTTCCTGAAGGCCTCTCGTCGCCACGGTGGGATCCGCCTCGAAATGAAAGTACGGTTCTTGACGCTGGCAAGTAAGCTTGCATGGACGGGGGGGGGTTCGTGGCGAGGCCCGACAGGAAATTCTGATGTCACCAAGCCGGAACTCACTTGCACGCCTCTGCGGCCCAGCGCGCGGGCGTTTGAAGATAGGGGCACGGCGAAGCTACGCGCGCGCGCGGCTCTGCTGCTTTTTTTTCAGAGCGGGTCCCCGGACAGCCCGACGATTTCCCTAGGTCGCAGGGGGGAGGAGCCACACCAATACCATTAGGGGGCCCACCTCCAGCGAGGAGGTCCACGATGCCTCCCCGAGCTGGAGGCTGGGGAAGACCCGGGCCAGAGGGGGGGGCCACACCACCAGGGAGACCTCCCTTGCCTCATCTCATCTCCTCGGCCTGGTGGTGTTGGTGTCGCCTTTCCTTGTTCCTACCTGGGGCGGGCTCTTGGTCCAGAGTGGACGGTCAGAGGCCGGAATTTTTGCAAACATAGGTGTGTCTGCCAGCGCGGACGCCTGCGAGACAGTCGGGTATCGCGCCGTGGACGTTTGAGCTGTGTGTTGCAGGCTGTGTGGTGTACCGTCGGGCCGAGGCACAAGGTCGAGGTCGGTTCGGGGAGGGTACCCTTGTGTTCTTCGTGTTTGTTGGATGTTCGTGTGCATCCTGGGGAGGGTACACTCGGACGTTCTGTGTGTTGTGGCCGACAGGGTCTCATGTTAGGTCCGACTGTAAGCTATGTGGTGTGGTGGCAGCCAGGTGGCGAAGTCTACACGGTGCAAGCTATGCGGTGAGCGCTATGCGGTGCTAGCTATGCGGTGTAAGCCAGGTTGTGCGAGCAACGCGGGCCACTATATGTCGTTGTGTAAACTCTGTAAGCGAGGTGGTGCAAGCTGATCAAGTGATGTCAGTTATGTGGTGTAAACCGTGTGGTGAGAGCTTCGTGGTGTAACTTGTCTGATGCAAGCTCTTCTGTGCCATCGATGTGGTGCAAGCTGGGCGGTGCAGGCGATGGGGTATACGGCCTGGGTCGTGCGGGCCATGCGGTGTGCGGTGGGCGGTGGTCCAAGCCATGCGGGGCGAGCGGTGCCGTGAAGGCCGTGCGGCAACACAAAAACAGTGCCGTGCTGACTGTGAGCTGTGCGGATCGAGCTGTGCGGAGCCGCCCGGGGCACGCCGCGCCGGCGGGCCCCCCCCGCGGGCGGCCACCGGCGCGCACCGTGCGGAGGCGCCTCGCCACGCCCGCACGGCGCACGGGGCGCCCGCGGGGCGCCCGCGGGCGGGCACCCACGGTGCGACGCCTCGCCACGCCCGCACGGCGCAGGCGGCGCCCCTCCTCCTCCTCCTCCTCCTCCTCCTCCTCCTCCTCCTCCTCCTCCTCCTCCCTCCTCCCTCCTCGTCCTCCTCCTCCTCCCTCCTCCTCCTCCGCCTCCTCCTCCTCCTCCTCCCTGCCTCCGGCGAGCACTGGGCGAAGCTTGGCCACGCCCACCCTCGGCCACGCGCAGAGGGGGTCGGGGGGAGGGGGGAGGGCTCCTCAGAGTCGGGGGTGGACAGACCTCCTACCCTGACACGTCGATTAAGGAATTGGCCGTTTTCGGTTCGCGAGAGGGCGTCGCGGCCGTCATTTTTGCGGGTCCAGGTCCGTCGGTTTCGGTCCCAGCCAGTTTTCACTGAGGGGAGGTTTACTAAAGGGAGGTTTGT